GGCAGTGGCGATGGAAATTGAGGGAAATGTGGGAACTGTCACTAGGGAGGGACAGTTAATCTGTTCATAAACAGAATGCCAATATTAATAATGCCGCTCCCTGTTTCCACAGTGTCTGTCAAAGCTTTGACCAAAATCTCATCCGTTCTCATAGAACCTGAGCATGGAGTGCATCGTGGAGGGGTTTATATCTGGACGTATAAAGGGGCACTCAGCCAGAAGAGTTACATGTCCTTGGTAGGCAGGATGAAGATGGTAGAGAGGTGCAGAAAGAGGAAAAACAGCACAGAACGGGTGTCTGTGATTCCAGTTTATCAGGACTTTGCCCCATCATGACACATCTGCATTTCAATCCCTTTTTTGCATCAAGGTCTGATACAACAGGAGACCCCTGTGATGTTAGAGTAACTTTTATCATGCAGGATGCTTGCGAAGAATTTAATCTATGCAGGAATTAACAAGTCAAGTGGCCAATAAAGCCTCTTTTCCCACCCCCTCCCCTCCACTCCCAGCGGAGCGCAGGAGGCCCCCCACAGCTCCTGAAGGAATGCCCTCCCAGCCTCAGCAGCCATATGGGGTCTCGGCCAGGAAATCCCGGCCTGAGAGCCACCCAAAGGAAATGCAAGTCAATATCCACGACTTGAGGCCTCCCTCTTTAAATCCTACAATGACAGTACCGTCAACCAGAAGCAGAAAATCCTTAAGCGTAAAACAAGTGCTTATTTTATCCAAATCGTTGATTTCGATCGAGGCCGACTCCTAGAACACACAGTGCCGCTCCCGAGCCATGAGGGAAGGAGCAGGAAAACCAACGCCTTCCTCCCTTCCGGCGTCTGTGACCTTGCGTGGGGCAGTGCCGGGAACACATTCACCCCACGAGTGTGCACTACCTGGACGGCTGGCTTCCTTGGAAGTTAAAGTGGCTGGGAGTCAGAGGCCAAACAAAATATAGAACTGTATTTTGGAGCTTCCCAAATATATTCCAAGGCTAGTCCCTCAGGGCTTAATTTTCCCTCCAGTCTGTGCCTCGCTCTCAGCCCAACCCTGCACTGGTTCTTGGATGTCAAGGCTGAATCTGGTTCCCCTGCTGCTTTCTCAGCTGCTCACCTCCCACTTCAGAACCTTTTGGGGTGCAATCTCTAGTCCCTCAAGGGACGCTGGGCCAGAAGGCAGCCTCCACGTTCTCGGGCCAACACTCATGTCCTCTAGTCACGGTGACTCGGGACTAACAGTCAGTTCACCATGTCACCCGCCTATGAAGAGCTTGTGTTCATAAAGATGACTTCAACAAGGTGATTATTGAGTCAGAAGCAATACTATTCTGTTCAATTCCATGCTTATGCTAAAAGTACTCATCAAATCCTAAAAATTCTAATCCATGCATGGATTTATCACATGAACAAAGATATCTGAGTGACCAGCACTTCCCACGGCAAAATCTCTCTAAAAGCCACCAGCTGCTGACTCCACAGCTCTTGGCAATGCCTGTAACATAACACCCAACTACTTGTAGGGAGAGTGTGGCAAGAAAGGCCTTAAAACTTACGACCATCATGCCCACCATGGTTGCTGACAGAAGTATACATGCCTCAGCCTGGCCGGTTTGGCTCAGGAGTTAGAGTGTCGGCCCTAGGGCCAAAGAGTCGCAGGTTTGATTCTGGTCAAGGGCACATACCTTGGTTGCAGTTCAGTCCCCAGCCCTGGTCGGGGTTGTTCGGTTAGCAACCAATCAATGTGTCTCTCTTACACTGATGTGTCTCTCTTTCTTTCTCTCTCTCTCTCTCTCTCTCTCTCTCTCCCTCCCTCCCTCCCACTCTATGGGAAGATAAATGGAAAAATATCCTCAGGTGAGAATTTAAAAAAAAAAGTATCCATGCCCCAGAACTCTCTGGGTATTCTATTAGTCCTGTGACCAAAAAAAGCTCTTACCCAAATTACTCTTTCTAAACATCAATGTAACAAGAGTGTGACCCCAGGCCACCCTACACACATCTCTCCGGCTCTAGGTCCTATCTGTTGCCCCACAGTCTGCTGGGGTGGCCACTCCTGGGTGAGGCTACCTCCTGGGTGAGGCTAGGCCCTTTGCCACTTTTTCTAACCTGAGCTGTTCCAAACAATCTCAGGAAGTCTTAGACAAGTGGCAGATGGTGAGGGAAAGTCTGTAGGTAACACCTCTCTGTTACATAATGCTAAGCACGGAACCTCCTCGACCAGCTTTGGAAATATCTCCTGGCTTAGCACTTCAGAAAAACAACTACTCAACATAGGCAAAAAGAGAAAATTTCTTTTTTTTAACTTGATGACCAGTGTACAGTCATCTTAGGTTGGGTGGAACTAGATTCTTTAAGATTGATTGATACTTGTGTAATGCCCAGGCCTACGGAGCTCTGAGCTAAGCCCAGTGGGTACACACTTTATAAACTTGTTCAGGCCACATCCCTTGTGGAAGCCATTCCTGTTGCTCACCTACATCCCATTCTCGCTTTCAGAACAAGAAATGTTGAACTGTGGCTAAATGGGGTCATAGGACTACTCCTGGCCAAAGCTATGCAAGTCCCTTCTGGGTCACATCGTGTCATGAAAACAAGCTCCTCTAGTTTCCAAGTGCTGCGGTGACCTTGCAAGCACACCCGGGATCACACATCAGTTTGGGTCCTTGAGTGACTGCGATGAGCAGGACCCACCTGCTGGCCACACTGGCCACACAACCTAGGAAGGAAACTACACTCAGCCACTGAGATTTGGAGGTTATTTGTCACTGCAGAATAACCAGCGTATCTTGCTGATACATCACTGTTTACAAAGAGAGAGAAACCTGCAAAGTCCACCCCCACTTCCGTTTTCTAAATCAGATTATTCAGAAAGGCAGAATTTGTTTCAAAATTCAAGCGCAGCAGGGACTGAATAAAACCTTGAAACGCAAAGGGTGCCGACAGGATAGACAGATTCAGACAACCCTGAAGGAGTAAGGAATGGAAACAGGATGACCTTTCAGCAATGGTGAGATCTAACCATTCGTGAAATTCAGCTGGGGAGTTTCAAGGCTATGAAGAAAAGGTCACCTTCTAACAATAGGCCCAGTCATTTACAAAGGAGTGAGCTCCTCAATGAAAGAGGCATTCAGGTACAGGCAGAATGATTATCTGCCCCCTCCTCAGAAATCCAGCCGCCCTCCTACTATCTCTCTCTCTCCCTCTAGCTCCCATTGAACTTAACTAGAATCAGGTTATCATTTCTCCATTACCATGTGAGCTCCCTGAAGGCAGCTCATTTTTATGTCTCCACACCCCACCCCCACCCCCACAGTTGGCCCTTATCACAAGGCCCATTATCTATTAGGTACTTGATAAACATCTGCTGAATGAATTAAATGAATACTGTAGAAAGGACTCTGGAGGCAAAGGTTGATCTAATAACCTCTAGGGCTGCCCTTGCCTAGAGCTAAACACTCTACTCCAGATATCTGAGGGTGGAGGAGCCTCCACCTGAAATAATGTGAACATCAGTACAACACTTGATTATGATTTATGACTGCACACAATTTAAAACCACAGTGAAACCTAACACTGCACCATGGCCATCTTTGTTCCTGGACGTGCATTTACGTGTGCAGGGAGCTGTTTTTCCATGTGGAATTGTGTGAAGTATTTCTCTTTTCTATTAAAAGAAACAAACACACACACACACACACCACACCCTTTGTTTCTATTGCATTGTTACACTCCCTATTACCCCACCACGTGGTTTTTCCTTCTTGCAGGAACACAGCACACACCCTGCATTATTGCTGACATAAAAACTGTCAAAATACCTCTATCCTAACAGCATTACAGATCTGATCTTTCTAAAGCCTTGGCCTTTGTCTCAGCTGGGACTGGATAACTCACCTACTTCTCCCAGTGATTCCTGCATGCACTGAGTAGGAGGATAAATGCCAGTGTCACTTATGGCTTTTCAAAGTCACCTTTCAGAACAAAACTACCCTGGAGGTGAATGACAATCTTGCAAGTTCTTTCATTTTATTTTTTTAAAGGGATCTGGGTGGGGAGGTGGTATGGTGAAGAGAGAATCTGCCACAGATACCGGGCGGCTGCCACTGCTGCAGAGCCAGCGAGCACACCAGTAGCAGCCTTTGGTCCTCGGCAGTCCCTCCTTCCTACGCGACAACCATTCTTATCCCCTGCCACTTGTGCAGGATGCCAGGGCTCTACCCTCCAGGAGACAATGCGCATGCCAAGGTGTCCTAATCCGTCTGAAGGTTAGGTTTTCATTGAGCTCTATCAAGATAACCCCAGATCTGGTTAGGTTGACATCAGAACAGAACTATCCTTGGAAAGAAAAAAGCAGGCCGGAATTTTTGGAAAAGAACCAACCACCTAAAGATAAAATGCAGAGTGAGAGCCTAATGGTTCATAGCTTTATAAATGGAAACTTAACTAAAGCTCTGTTTTCTGTTCTTTCTGCTCCCCCAACAGCCTTCTGCTCCCTTCCACCTTCCAGTAACTTGCAGCTGGCAAGTTGATACTGCAAACACTATTACAAGGCAAGGGTGGCAGAGACATTATTTCATAAGTCACCACATTTGACCAGTGCCCTAATTGAGCACTGGTCAAATGTATAATCAGCCTCACGGTGATACCTTTTCAACAAAGGCTATCCCACTGAAGTCAAAATATATTACGACAGATAAGAAAGCAGGCATATATCCAAACCCCACATTCAGATATATCTGACTGTGTATTGATTATATCAAAATTCTCATCCAAAGAAACCAGATGGAATTTATACCACCCCAAAGGCACCCCGCCTGCCCTCAATGACTTCGTCAAAAGGAAGGTTTGAAGTCTCTGGCAATTTCTTTCCAGCAGCCCCCACTCGTCCTCCACAGATAGGAATGGAACGGTGCGAGGCAGAGCCCACCCAAAGGGCCCCCGTGCAAACACTGTTGGCCCAAATGACCCAGAGACACCCAGGCGGCTACCCAGATGATTGGGGGTTACCTGAATCTGTCACCGAGTCCCTTTCACTCCCTTCTGCGTGATGACATCAAGTGGAAATGGTTCACGTTTGGGAGGCAAGAGGCTGACAAGCAGGAAGCACAATTGAGTCTGAGCTTTGTTCAGCCTGCAGTGAAATACATGCAGTAAGGGTTAGATACGCGCAGCAGAGAAAGAAATCCAAGCTTCCTCCGGGCCGGCGGCGGTGGAGTGGGGACACCGACGAGGTGGGGGAAGGCGGCGGAGGTGTGGAGGGCTGGCGGGCCGCCGAGGGGGCGGAACGCTTCCTAATTGTCTCCACTGGATAAATAACCACCTCCCCCCACTCCTCTGCAGTCTCCCCCGCCCCCCAAGTTCTCCTCTGGTGGTAGTGCTTCTGCTAGCAACTGCAATCCCTCAAGAAAGAAATACGAGAGAGCGGAGAATAACATCTTGGGGCAAATACACACTAGCAAATTATACTAGGTAAACCCGGCTATATGGGAATGCGGGGCGCCGGGGCACCCAACCAGACACACCAGCGCTGCATCCGCGAGCATCCTTCTTTCCCTCACGCTGTCCGCCACCTCACCAAGTCACTGATAGTCACTCTGTTTTGCCGATTGCTCTACTCTTCCCCAAACCATGCCATGCTCCCCCACCCACTCCCACCCTCTGCGGGATCGGGGTGGGGAGGGGGCGCTTCTCCAGCAGCGTCCCCCGAACCCAGCCTGCTTTGTCCTGCCGCTGCCCTTCCACGAGCAAGCGCTCCAGGCGCGCGGGTCCGCACAAAAGACCCCCAACATCTGGCCCGCCTCTGCGCCCCCTCCTCCGGGGAAGGGCCGTGGGCTGCAGAGGGGCGTGAGAGGGCAACTTCTGCGGGTGGGGAAGGCGCTCAACAAGGGGCTTGAGGGAGAATCGACTGGGGTGTGCGCGGGGTGGGGGCGCGCGCGGCGCGGGCAGGAGACAGCGCCTTCGGACCGGAGCTCCAGGGGGCATCCGAGGACTCAGCGGAGCCGCGACAGCGCCATTCGCCACCCCACCCCCTTCCCCAGCCTCAGCCGACAGCCCAACTCCGCCAGCGCTCCGGACTAACGCAACTCGGGGGACCACCTCCCCGCGCCCCCAGGCCTCCCCACCTGCCGCGCTCCCCTCCCCGAAACCCCTGCGGCCCCCCCACACACACTGGCCAGAGGTACCCCTCAATACACCAGGCGGCGGCACCGCTTTCCCGCGTTCCTGCGCCGGGTGAGGCCGCCTCGGGGGCGCAGACATCCCAGCGCGCCCCTCTCCCGCCGGCGACCCAGGAGGAGCCGAGCAGAGAAACGAGCAGAAACTCACCGACCTCTCCGCCAGGGGCTCGGGCACTCCCTGCAGCGGCGGCGGCGGCGGTGCCGGGTGGTCCCGGCGCTCCTGCCACCCGCTCGGCGGACGCGCGGGACGAGCGCGGGGAGCGCGGCGTGGACGTCGGCAGCCCAGCTCCGGCCCCTGCCCTCGGGAAGGCGCCCACCTGCCCCGCGGCCTCCGCGCTCCGGCCGGACACCGCCGGCAGGCTCGGCTGCGAGCGGGAGCTTTCCGTGTCACCGCCCAGACCCAGGCACCGGAGCGGTGGGGGCGGGGGGCCGGGCTCCGCTCCCCGCGGCACCGCCCCTCTCCGCGGCTCCACCTCCTCCAGCCCCCGCACCGCTACTCGTCCGGACGTCAGTCTGTCCCGAGCCGCCACCACCTCCGGGCTGAGGAGCTGCCCGCCCGCCCGCCCGGGTGCCCCCCGGCCGCACCTCGGCGGGGGCCTCGACGTTGTCTTTCCCACGCGTGCAAGTGGGACCTACGCTAGAACCAGGTGCGAAGGAGGCCGAGCCCAGCCGGCAGAAGGGCGGGGCAGGGGTGGAGGGCAAGCCGGCGGGAACCGGTCTGCAGTTCCGGACCCGGACCCGGCGAGGGAGGAGTTGAATCCTCTGTTAACAGAAGCAGCCTGGGTCCGCGTCACCGCAGACACTTTTTGGCTGACCCCGAAAGTTCACGTAGTCTAGCCAGGGCGGGTCCTGCTTTCGTGGACGGAAGGCCCGGATGCATCCCCACCATCTGGCTCCCCGCATAGGGTAAGGGGAGCCCGGGGGTGCAGGTCCTGAGGGTTCTGTGCCGGCGCGAACCACTGACCTCGTGCCCACTCTGGTCTGCACCTTAAAACCGAACTCCTGCGGCAGGGACGTGCTTACAATGCCTGGTTCCCCTGAGAAAGTCCGTGCTCCTGGCGTTAACTGCAAAACGGGGGGATGGAGGAGGGAGGTCGCTGGTAGAGGATGGTTTCTGTGCTGTTGCCCCTTTAAAGGGTTTCTATGCAGAACCAAGACCCAGAACTTTGTTCTGTGATTGGCAAAGTTAAACCTTCCAACTTTCCCGGAGCTGCAGCACCAGGTTCCACGAAGTGGCCCCACAGTCATCCCACAGAGCCGTCTCTGTGTTCTCCAGTCCTGTCCCAAAGGAAGGAGCTGCCATTCTGACCTCTCCCGATGATAGCTCCTTCTGCCAAGACGATGAAAAGAAAACCCGTGAACCAAAGGGGGCTCTACATGACCTACTGAAGTTCCTGAGGTACTCAACACAACCGGCCATCCTTGTCTTGTCCCACACAGAAAACCTGTTGGTAGTGTTTCCAAATGTGGTGTCACCAAGCACATCCAGAAACCAGTCACCGAGAGACAGATACAGTTTGAGGAGTGCAGTCCTCCCCAGGATTTGAATTACAGTGTTCACCTGGCCCATCTGTGTGCTTTTGTTCCTGAAGTTACATCTTCTACTGTACACTTGGCAGGAGTGAAAGTTATATGTGTGTTTTAAGAGCCTTAGGGATCCTGGAGTAGAAGACTTCAAGAGTTTTTGTTGTTTTTTTTTTTTAATCCTACATTTGATTCAGATAGAGTGGGAGGGAGAGGAAGAGAGAGAGAGAGAAACATTGACGTGAAAGGGACACATCGAGTGGCTGCCTCCCACACGACCCAACCAGGGCTGGGGACAAACTGCAACTGAGGCACTGCCCTTAGCGGGAACCAAACATGGGTCTCTCTGGACCGCAGGCCGAGGCTCTAACCACTGAGCCAAACTGGCCAGGGCTTCAAGAGTATTTTTGCCCTCACCTTTAGGCAAAAAAAAAAAAAAAATTTTTTAATGAGAAACTAATGAAAGTATTGAAAACTCTGATGTTGGCCAGAAGCTTGGAATAGGACGGTGAGTTATAACCACCCAAGATTTTACTAGGAAAATTTAGCCCAGAAATAGTATGATTATACAAGAGTGACTTTAAAGACTACTTTTAAGAAGCTAATTTCAGGGATCAGTAATGATTTCAAAATGTTTAAACTTTTTTCAGCTGCTTTCAAAGCAATTCTCTGGGAGGATCCAAGCATTCAGCATGATGTGGGGTAAATGCTTCCATCCTTGGCCATTCATTCCCACTGGCTGGCATTTTAATTCACAGAGCATCATGGGTGTTCTGCCTTCTGTCCAGTTGTGTAAAGCTGTCACACAGAGAAGGTTAATTAACTGGGGCAGACTGGGATAAGCCAGTTCGTAAGACTAGTTGGGGGCCCAGCGCCGGGGCAGGCAGCAACGGTTTGAGGCAGGGGAGGAGCAGGCAGCAACACGTTGTGGAAAGATTGTGAAGGGAGCCGGTTCCAGGGGCAAAGCCGCTGGGACAGGCAGTGTTCAGAGCTGCGAACGCAAAGATTCCAGAATCCCACCCAGACGGAGGCGCTGCCCATGCCTGGGGGGAGACACGGTCCCGCAGCATCCCAGGTTTGATAAAGTGCATTGTCAGGGTGGGGTCCCAGGACTGGGAACATGGTAAGAAGCAGATGTCTATGAATTCATTCAGCAAGCAGTCCTTCGGTTTGGACCTGTACTGGGAACCAGGCCCTGGGATTAGCACCGAGAAGAAAACAGTCCCAGACTCCGGCCCTCGCAGGACTTACAGTCTAACGGAGGAAGCAGAGACGACAGTGTCATACATAAGTAAAATAAATGGTGTTGGAGAATGAAAAAGGGAAGAAAAATCAAGCAGGGAAGGGGGCTGTGATGTCTACCTTGGAAGAGGCGGAAATTTGAGCTCCATAGTAGAAGGTGCCTTAGGAGCAGGGAACTGAAGGGAGTGAGGGACCAGCGGGGCCGGTCAACAGGAGGACTTCGGGGTGGGTGCCGGCAGACCTGAGACATTGCAGGTTGCAGACCACCACGATGAAGCCAGTTGTCATCTTTCTCTGACTGAGGGTCTTGCCTTTGGTTTGTTAAAAAAAAGAAAAAAAAGGAAACATCTGCGAAGCACAATAAAGCTAAGAGCAAGAAAATGGGGGGTGCCTAGATTCCTCTGAGGGCAAAGGTTGAGATACTAGCACTGGGTCACAAGGTCAGTCAGACCCAATAACACTGATTGATACTTAGTCTCCTGAGGTTGAATTAAAGCTGCTTAAATCAGGACAGGACTGAGTTCTTATCTGTGCACCCACACATGGAGCACAGGTGCCGAATAAACATTTGAGCTGAGCTCTTACATCTTCCAGGACCTGGGTGGGGCTGAGAAAAAGGGGACCGCAGAATAGCCAGGACAACCCTTCAATCAGGATGACACTTCCACAAACAAACAAAAAAAAGTCTTGATCTCTTTCATGGCTTTTACTCACTGTCTTCCTGATCAAGGCAGGAGTCATCTTTTCTCATTGTACCTAACACTAAGTGGGAGGAGAGAACCAAGAAGAGGGAGAAGGAACGAAGAAGAGAGGGAGGAGGGTCGGGACAGGGAAATAAATCCTGCTCCTTGTTTTCTACCCTGAAGATCTAAATCCAGCCCAGCTGATGCAAGAAAGGAGCCTGGCCCTTGGTGGGTCTCCTAGGGCTAGCTGGTAGTGTGTGGGTTCTTGACTTCGTAAGGAAAGATTTCACAGCATGAGTCCAGGTGAATTTAGAGGACATTTATTAAAGCTGGGGAAATCGAGACAAGAAAGGGCTGGGGAAAGGAGCCCAGGCTGGGCTGCTTCGGCTCACTAAGAAGTCAGAGAAAAGGGGGCCCTGGGACAGGCTCAGGGGGTTAGTCTGGGATGAACTGATGCTGCCCACTGCTCCCCTGGTTGCAAGCCTCCTGGGGTCCCTCAGAGTTTAGGAGATCCTGCCTGCGGGGGGAAGAAGGGGTAGGGAAAGAGCAGGCATGCTCCAGGGAAGGGGAGGGGGCACCAGGACCTTTGTTTGGAGGCTTTTTAAAGGCTGGGTGTTTAGGAGAGGTCCTAGGGCAGGATTTCAAGAGAATAGTCACAGGTTTTATGCTAATGTACCAAAATGAGATTTATTTTTTTAGCTTCATCTGTCCTTGGGTGCGGTCAGCAAATAGCACTAACTGGATTTCTGCTGTCTGTCTCCTCTGGTTGGGGAGAAGTGAAAACCATTTACTCGTAAGTGTCCCTGGGTTAGGGAAGATAGGATTCACTAGATGGCTGCAGACTGTTTAACTGTCATCTCAGTTTCCTTGTTCTGCTTGTCCTGACTGTCTGTCCTGTCTCAGTAATAAGGGTGAAGTTTTTTGTTTAACATGTTTGAGGTTTACACCTTAAAATTGCATCTTGAAACGGAATTATAGTGATATTTGCACATTTATTTATTTTTAATATTTTTCTTTCTTTATTGATTTGAAAGAGAGAGAGGAAGGGAGAGGGAGAGAGAAACACTGATGAGAGAGAACTTGATTGGCCACCTCTTGCGTGCCCCCCACTGGGGATTTGGCCCACAACCCTGACCAGGAATTGAACCAGCGACCTCTTGGTGCATGGGTCGACACTCAACCACTGAGCAACACAGCCAGGCGTTTTAAATCCACATTTAAAACAAGTGGATTTTCAAGCAACAAGTGTTGTGAAGAAAAAGGAACTCTAGTACACTGCTGGTGGGAATGCAGACTGGTGCAGCCACTATGGAAAACACTATGGTGTTACCTCAAAAAATTAAAAATTGAATTGCCATTTGATCCAGTGATCCCACTTCTAGGAATATACCCTAAGAAGCCTGAAACACCAATCAGGAAGAATATATGTACCCCCATTTTTATAGCAGTACTATTTACAATAGCTAAGATCTGGAAGCAGCCCAAGTGTCCATCAGTAGACGAATAGATAAAAAAGCTGTGGTACATATACACAATGGAGTACTATGCAGCTGTAAGAAAGAAAGATCTCTTATCCTTTGAGACGACATGGAGGGACCTGGAGAGTATTATCCTAAGCAAAACAAGCCAAGCAGAGAAAGACAAATATCACATGATCTCACTTATTTGTGGAATATAATGAACATAACAGTCTGAGGAATTAGGTAGACCCAGAGATGTGGAAGTAG